TATGAGTGCCTTTGTGTCATAACAGCTCTGATGCTGATTTGCGTTGGGTGTAGGGTTGAAGCGGCCATGCTTGGAGGCAGGGATGGATGGGGCAGTGAGGAAGCTGATTGTGGCACAGGAATTTCTCAGTGCTGACAACTGCAGGGTTCAGAGCAGGCTCCATCTGAGTCGACTCAAGGCACAACCATGAGCTCCTTTGTATAGCAGCACCGACTGCTGACTTGGGTGAGGCGAGCATCATGGAGGAAAAAAGGGGTGGGGCAGTGAGGAAGCTGATTTTGGCAGCAGAAGTGGCTGCAGCTCTCATAACAGCAGGGCCTGGTCCGGAGGAGCAAACCCTGAGATTGGTTTGGACCTATCTGGTTCATCGGAGTTCCATGGTTTATGTAGTCTTGGTGATCCAGCGAAGTTGCTGGCGGAAACCAGTCTGAAATTTAGTGATGTATATTCATATATATTTATATATTTCTATAAAAGCCTGTAGCAATAGCTTTAGTGTACTTATATGCTGTTTGTTGGTGGTGCACCCAACTGTTCTTGTTTCCTATCTGTACTCTCTCTTCATATTGTTGAATCCCTCTTTTTTGCCAAACCTTACTCTAGTTACGGTATGCCTAGCTCAAACCCTAGCCATGGCTACTATTCTGACAGAAATGTCCGCTGTTTTTGCTTCTTGCCTGAACATACATATCTTTCATATTTCTTCCTGAATTGAACATAACGTTGCATCATGGCACAGGCCACAGTGGATAAGGTGGAGCTTGTTACAATGTGTGCCTTCTACCAGTCCTTGTGTTTGATAATGTATTGATACCTTTTCGCTCTTCTTCTGAGTGATACAAAAAGCCAAAATATGGTCACACTTCGATTATGTGGATGAACAGCTGCCTGCCCTGCTTGCCAGGAAAGGAAGTGACTTTTTTTTTTTTTTTTTTTTTTTTTTTTGGTGGATATAAGTATACTACACGCATACATACATCCGCAGTCGTAACTGTTGCTAGGAGGACAACGGAAGCTACTGGTAACCTCCCTCCCCCCTCTTCCTCTCTACGGGGGTTGGAAAGCCACCCCGCCATCTTCCCAAATTGCCTTAAACCCCGTCCTCCACGTCATCGAGGCTTCACATGTGTATAGTCTGTGCATGACCTCCGCCTCATCAGCAGCCAAATGACTCCAGTCGCCTGACTTGTCCACTGCCCCCTTGCTAGCCATCCGTTTCCGAGCCCTGCTGTAAATCTTCACGTGCCTTGCAAAGCTAACTGCCACACGCCGCAGTGCTCTTTTTGGTTGAAAATGACTGCCCCTGAAGACCGCATTGCACCTCTCCAGCCAAACTTGGTGCGCAGTGATTGAGATAAAGGCTGCTTCCGGAAAACCGGACGACGTGCAGCTCTCTTGAAAAAGCATGTCGCCGAGGGATTCCAATTCCCTCCCCGGATTCATGCATTGCACCGCCTTTTTCATCACCTTGACCACCGGTTGAATTCTGGGGCAGCTGTACAAACAGTGATTCTGCGACTCCACCTCCCCACAATGGGGCATCTCGCCCTTGCGCCCAGGAACGGTAACCTCTCCCCCACCTGTAGGTTATTGCTGTGTGTCCTCAGAATTATTTCACGCGCCCTGCCCGGGGTTGCCAGTGAGTCGCGGGTTTTGATGGCTTTCCCCCAGTCAACTTTCCTCCCCAATGTCTCCTCCCACTGCAGCTGTTGTTTGGGTTGGGACGGTGGGGGTTTCATCAGCTTCCTCAGCTTCCTTAGCTCGGCTCGCTCGCCCCTATCACATACCGGCGAGTATAGCAGTCGTGTTCTTGGATCCCCCAGCGGACCGCGTACTCTCCCATCTATGACTGCCATCGGAGTGGCGCGTAGGAAGTCGGCTGACACCACGCTCGCATACTCCACCGCGGTGATATGTCCTTTTTTGTCCACCGCCACTCTCGTCCCGTACATCTCGCCGTCCATCGTGTGTTCCAGTTTATAATACAGCAGTTCCCCCGGGTACGGCGGTGAACGGATCAGGTTCGTTTCTCTGAAAACCTCCTCCGCTGTCAGCTTCCTGAGCACCATATCTCTCCAACTTTGCGGCGTTGCCTCCCAGGCCTTCATCGCCCATTTCCTCTGTTCCTCTTCTCCCAGTTCGCGCTCCAGGGTGGAAAAACTCTTGAGAGATCTGCTTCCATCCATCCACTTGTCTACCAGGTCGCCCAGCCGAACTCCCTTCAAGCAGTGCGACCCTGCCTGGTTGCCGAAAGGGGATTTTCCCCTGAAGAAAACTTTCGGTTAAACAGCAGTTGTTCCTCCTCCGCATACCATCTGTGTGCTGGTTCACCGATAACCACCACTTTTGAGTCCCATAATGATTTAACCGCTGCCCTCCACCTCGTGCCACCCCCCAGCCAATTTTTCAGGATCGAGGGATGTGCGTAGATGGTGGCCAGCCCAATCGGGAAACCCGCGGCTCTCTCCCACAGCCAATTCCTCAGAGGCTCTTGTTCCGCCAGCGCCTTCCCCAGTTTTTGAATCACCACGCTGTCTATTCGATGTTTCAGATTAATGACTCCCAGTCCCCCCTCCTTCCGACCCCTGCACGACAGGTCGTAGCTCCAAAGAGTGAAATGTCTGTCCAGCACCGCCTTCCCCCCTGAGATGAAGTTATGGCAGAGTCGCTTCACCTTCGTCCAGATGTCGTGCGGCGGAGCGTAAATCTGCGCCTGGAAAAGCAGAATCGGCATCGCGTAACTATTAATAATGGTGACCCGCGCCGTCGTTTTGAGGTGTTTCGTCTCCCAGCAGCTCAACACCGCGCTGATGCTTTCAAAAGCTTTGTCCCATGCCGGTACCGGCGACCCCCCGGATGTGATCCATATTCCAAGCAGCCTCTCCACCTTGTCCTTGTCAGCCCATTTGAAAGGTGTCACCAAGGGTTGCAAGCGTCTCCGATTTTTTCCCAGGGGCATCAACGTCGTCTTATCTTGATTCACACGAAGCCCCGAGATCTCCGCAAACTCATCCAGCATTTTTTTCGCCTGCTCCACTTGCTCCTTCCCTTTCAGGACGAGTGTTGTATCATCCGCATAGCCGATGTAAGCAAGCTCCCCTCTCACTCCCCTTTTCCTGACCCCCAGTCTTCTCCTCATTATCTCTTAGCAGAGTGGTTCAACAGCACTGATTCTCCGAGATCACCCTTGGTAAGGCCAGCTTAATCCGGTTCGCCAGCACTTTCGCCACCAGTTTGTAGAAAAAACTCAGTAGAGTAATCGGTCTGTAATTGCCAATGTTTTCTTTGTCACCCTTTTTGTGCAGCAGAATGGTGACCGCCGTCATGAAGGATTCGGAGAGTTTCACCGTTCGCTCGAAAGCTCTGATTTCATTCATCACCGCCGGTCCGAGGAGCTCCCAGTTGCGCTCGAAAAACTCCTTCGGCAAGCCGTCCTGCCCGGGAGCTTTCCCCACCGGGAGCCCTCTAAGCGCTGCCTTCACCTCCTGCTCTGACCATTCACCTCCAAGTTGTAGACGGTCTCCTTCAACAAGTCTCCTCCCCTCCTCAATCGGCCAAGGTTCGTTGGTGAGCTGCGACGGTAAGTCTGCATACGCTTCTCGAAAATATTCGGAGGCCGCCTGAAGCACCTCCCTTGCTCCCCTCCGTGTCACACCCTTAAAAAGGAGCTCACTGATCTCTGTCTTTGCCTTCCTTGATTTGAGCAGGCCCGACAAGAAAGCCGAAGGCGTCTCCCCTACCACCTCTGCCAGCAACCCCGTCATGGCCTGCAGCCGTTCCTTACTGCTATCTTGGTAGATCTTGAGGGCCGCCTCACTCTTCACCAGCTCCTCGTAAACATCTTGAGCTGACGGGTTGCTCATAACCCTCCACCTGAGGTTCTCCACCTTCTGCTCTAAATGTCTCATGGTCGCTCTCACTCTTTTCCTTTCTTCCGTTACATGAGCTCTCATGCCTGCACGCAGACTGTCCACCAGCCGCTCCAGGCCTTGGGTCGGCTGACTCGCGTGCGACTCTTGTACCACCGACACAATGTTTTTTGTCCCTTCCCCTCCTACGTGAGACGCTGGCAGTCTCCACAGGCCTGGTCCGTGATCACCTGCCGACGCAGCCTTGAGCGACACCATCACCGCGAACCAATGGTCAGTAAGGCCGTACGGCACCATTTTGTGCTTCGCCTCCACTACGCAGCTGAGCAGTGAGTGGGATACTAACACCCTGTCAATCCTCGTGCTTGTTCTTTCAGATCTGGAGAAGAAGGTGTACTCCTTGCGGGTCGGGTGCAGGCATCGGAAAGCGTCCTGCAGGTCCCATCTTGAACAAATCTGCAGAAGGCGCTGGTTCTCTGCTGGCGTTCCCAGCTTCAAAGACTTGTCCAGTTCTGGATCCGCTACTATGTTCAGGTCGCCGAGGAAGATTGTGTGCGGTGTCGCCGGCAAGTTCTGCACGAAAGGTGTCAGCACATCGCGGAAGAAAACCCCTCTGACCGAGGCCTGCGCAGGTAAGTACGCCGCTACAATCCTGCACTTTAGATCTCTCCATGATACCACCAGGCTCAGCAACCGCCCTGACTCGTGCGTGACTGTATCCGTAAAACGCATCCCTTGCAGGAAACCCAAGACTGCTACCCCTCCAGCTCTTTGCGCCGGCCCAACCACCACTTGAGCTTCTGATCTAACTTGTGTCCAGAAATTGTGATCCGCCGGTATCCGAGTATCCGTAAGTACCACTATGCTTGCCACCTTCTTAATCCATTTTCCGCATCTCTCCTGTTTCCCACTGCTTCCGAGCCCGTTGATGTTGAGCTCGAGGATGGTAAGTTTTTTGTGCTTATCCATTGATCACCAGCGAAAAGCCCCACAGCATCCACGGGCGACTGAGCTTCATTGCAACAATGCATCCTACTACAGCAAATGAGAACATGGCTCCGACTACGCAACCAGCTACAACTACTGCTCCTGCTGTCACATCTCCTCCGCTGATTCCGGCGTTGATATGTTTCACTTCATCGGCTTTGTGATGTACTCCTTCTTGAACGCAAGCAGCTTCTGGGAGGATTTGCTGGCACGAGTTGCAGATCCCTCCTTCCGCAGCCCCCCTTTGTGCCGAGCAGACGCGATGTGAGCAGATGCCTGTTCGAACCGATTTCCTTGCGCCTTCTCGCATGCCGTCTGGACACAGACCCATTCCTCCCGCGCGCCTCCTGTAGAGGTGAGGATAACTGCCGGATCTCTCATGATGCGTTTCAGGAGATCTGAGGCTTTCAGGGACGCAGCTGCGGGGGGGAGAGGAGCAGACAGCCATCAGTATGAGGTAAGAAAGGAAGAGCGAGCGGTAACGAGTGCACCAGCAGCGGGTAAGAAGCTTCTCTGCTTATACCATTCATCTCGTGAACCTTTTTAACAGTCAGGTTCCAGTTGTTGAAATTCTCCTGCCTCGGGGCGACGTAATGGTCGTGATACTGCGACATGTGTTGGCCACCTCAGAAATCACAAGTCAGCGACGGGAAATGAAGCAGGTAACGCCTCCCCGTAGATGGATCTTCCACGAAATACCTCCAACGATATCCATCACCAGCATGAGGGACAAACAGCCCGCGGATACGGTCAGTATCCAATCCAGACACCGGGTCAACCGTCCGATGAAAACCAAAACCGCTGGCGAACGCGCTCCTGCCGCGCTTGACCAGCTTCGACACCACCAACAGGTGACGAATCAACTCCGCCGTTATCTCAGCTGGTACGCCTTTAACCACAACCTCCTTAGCCATAGGGTTCAGCACACGCTCGCGCAAGAAGCGCGCATCCTCCGGGTGCTGCCAGGTGAGATCAATGAAGTCCCCATTGACACACTCGTGACGGATAACCTGGTTCCAAACGAAGTTCGCGTCACGAACGTGGTTGAAAGTGACTTGTAGGCGACCATAACGCGCGCCGGAGAGATACATCGCCGGAAGATCCTGGCACGTTGTAGTCTGAAGCACGTCCGGCGATAAATGTTCCTTCCAGTCATCCAACATCGCGGCTACTGTTACAGCAGCACGCTTAACTTCTGCCTTCCTGAGGATCGGCACCAGCAAGGTTAGTGAAAAACGCTTCAGAGCAATGACACTATTAAGCGAGTCCGGCTCCAAGTACTCATTGGAGTCATCACTCAGGTAACCATCATCCTCATCATCGGGGGTCTCAGCCAGCAGCGTGTCATCACCATCCTCCGCATTATCATCAGCGTCGACCTCCGCATGCGTTCCTTCCTCAGCAGCAGGCCTCTGAGAGTCGTCAGCAGTCTCCTCCTCCCCGTCAGGCTTCTGCCGGCTTGATCCAGCATCCTGATCAACGTTGTCCTGCAGGTCCAGGAGAGCTTCAAAAGGACCAAGCACAGTAGCAGATGCGGAGCTTGACGGAGGCCTCCCATTGCCAACAGGATCCTTCACAGGTACGTCAGGTACGCCAGCCACGTCCTTATCCTGAGCATTGTCAACATTCTTCTTGCCGCTCTTGTTGCGTCCCTTCGCCATGGTGCGATGATGAGGAAGGCTTGACAGCCAGACAATGGCTGAGAAGAAAGCTGATCTGAGCACATACACAAAAACATTCTGCAGTTTATATCTCTTGTGCTTGAAGGCAAAACGCTGCAGGTCCAGGCCGGATGATATCGTTGGCGCCATGGAGGAAAACACCCAGCCTTGGTAGTAGATTCCCGTGGGAAAACCGGGACCTTGAGAAGTGGTAGCATTGATCTTGACGCGAGCAGGTGACAAAGCAAACTGTTGGTCGCGATGGAATCCATGGAGTAGCTTAGAACTCTGGAGAGAAACTTGTGTATAGTTCTGGCCTGATGTTAAGTGTAGCACTGACGATAGCCTGGAACTCAAAAAACAGGTGTTTAGGTTCCCGTGATGAACACTAAAAAGGCACCGTTGTAAAGAGGTTAAAGCCGTGCATCGCTCGAGTGCTTCAAATCCAGTATCAGACAAGAAATTGATACACATTGGCCGAGTTAAAACCAGGGTCTCACGTAAGAGAAAGCGTGATCAACTGCAAAACAAATGAAGCTGAGTCACCCTGTTTGAGGTGGCGAAGTCTAGGGGTTGGTTTGGCATTTGTCTGTGCGACACCTCCCGTTTTTTCCTGTGATGCAATTGCAAATCATTTTGATCTACGTGAGACCCTGGTTTTAAAGCTCTCCGCCATGGCCATGGCGGCATTGTCATTGTTATTGTCACTCTGTCGCAAAGGCGGACCACATGAGTCAACTATCAAGAGAACGAAAGCTGGGATGAAAAGAAACAGTAAGATGATAGGAAGTGACATGAAACTGAAGCACTGGCGACGCGATGATACGACGCGAAACGAGGGGAGGGAGTTCAGGGAGTTCATTTCCCGCCTTGTCAAAGCTCGTCAACGGCTACTTCACGTAAGCGCACGATGAATTCATCATGAACTAGAAACTCAACGTTTTCTGATAGATGACTGACGGATGGGCATCCTTCTTGGCGGGGTGCGTTAGACATCCTCCTCACCTCAACGTGAATCAGTCAATCAGTCACCCCAGCGACCAGTTTAGGTAGCAGGAGTAGCTTATGCGGCATGCTTTTTGAGAGCCTTTTACTTTGATTAGCTTGTAGTCCGAGCAGAAATGCGTGAAGAGTGAGTGGAGCTCTCAACCATGGATTCTCGTGCGCACATTAACAGACTGTCTGACGACCTAGTAATCAGGATTCTATGGCATAGCTCCCAAAACACCGCTATCCACTATTTTCGACGGGGATGCTACGTACGACAATGCTACGTGCGACAATGCTGCATGCGACTCTATGTGTCCGAGGCAAAAATACTTCTGGACTAAACATCCACCAGAGCACTCAAGCGATAGCGAGGGAAACTCTTTCGTGACGACTCCTCCTGCCTTCACCGACGCAGCTCTTAGTCTCCTCATCGCTTCAGTTTGCCGTTGCTGGCGTCGTCTCTCGCAGCGTCACGTCTCGACGCTTCTCGTCAGGGAAAATGTCGCCGTTTCCCGCTAAGATCTCGCCAACTCCGTCTCCTGCTTCTCGAACCTGACCCACCTTCATCTGTGCGGCGGAAGCGTGGAAACATTAGACGACACCTTCCTCTCTCACCTTGCCACGTCATGCCCTAAGCTAACGGTTCTCCATGTTGGAAGCAGGATCACTAAAGATGCGGATATCGAGGAGAGGATATACATGCACCCGATTTCCGAAACCGGCTTGGATCGTCTCTTTCAGGGATGCACGCAGCTGGAGGTCATCTCCTTCGATCGCCTCGGATCTGCTCTCCATCCGAGTGTCGTGTTCCCAGCTTCGCTCTTCCATCTCTCGCAACTCCGCACTCTCGTTCTCCCGGACGCGTCAGCGCTGACCGCTCCTGGCTTCTCGACGCTTTCGTCTCTCAGCTCTCTCCGCGTAACCTCTCTGAACCTGATCTTTCACCATCTTGGAAATCTTGTCCAACTGCCTCGCCTTACCAGCCTGGCCATCAGCTATGACCCCGAGGTAGAAGAAGAACGACCGGAAACGTTTTCCGTCTCACAACTGCCGTTCCTGAAATCGCTGCAGCTCGAGGGAGAGGCGTCTCCGTTCAACTTTTTTCTACCCTCGGGACTGCCGTGCATCAGGCTGGAACGGCTAGTGGTTGCGGGTTCCCACTTCCTCGACCGGCTTCCAGACGACCTTGGAGAGAACTTGCCGTGTCTCCGCAAGCTGAACCTTAGCTGGTGCACAAAACTCACGCGCCTGCCTAGAAATATCACGTCTCTGAACCGGTTGGAGAGCCTAACAATCACCTCGTGTCGGTTGTCCAGCCTGCCCGACAGCTTCGGCCGCTTATCTACCCTGAAAACATTGGTGCTGCGCAGTCTGCCTCTAGCCAACCTCCCTGACTCTTTCGGGCGTCTCGAATCCCTGGAAACATTTACCATGTACATGCTCTCCCTCACGGAACTCCCGGAATCTTTTGCCTACCTCGCATCTTCAAAGACCTTCCTCATGGTTGGCTGCCGTGAATTCCGCCAACTTCCAGCGAATTTCGGTCGTCTACGAGCTCTCAAGACGCTGTGCATGGTGAAGCTGCCGCTACTGAGGCTTCCCGAGGGCTTGGTGGGAATGGCTGCCATCCAGAGGACGTTCTCAGATGATGTGTTCAATTCGCTGCAGCTCCCCGGTTCACTCACTGAGTTGACTCCGTTGACCCGGCTTGACCTGGATCTGATTTCAGATGAGAAGCTTCCGGAAGGGATTGGGAAGCTGAACCAGCTGCGGCACTTGAGCATTCATTGCTGCTTCAATCTCAGGGAGATTCCAGAATCCCTCACAGGGCTGACCAATCTGAACACTTTGACGATTGGGATGTGCAGCGAGCTAGTATCAATTCCCAAGAAGCTGGATACCCTTAAAAAGCTTAGACGGCTGGAGCTGACTGGGTGTCACCCTTCCATGTGGCTGAACGGGCCGTCTATCTCCTTCCCTTCCTCTCTCGAGTCCCTAAGCCTGGGAAGGTACAATCAGATCATTGTTCTGCCAAACCTCCCAACGCTGCCAAATCTCAAGAGGTTGACGTTGAATCTGGTCAATGTGGCGGGTGGGGAAGCCAACGTGTCTGAACCCAATGCGTTGCCAATGTTGCAACATCTGGAGTTGGTGCTGGCGGAAGATGCAGAGGAGCTGGCATTCCCCTTGGCTTCTGTCGCTCAGCTGCGAATTCTTGTGGTCTCCAGGGCTGGTAACATTGAGAAGCTCCCTGGAAGCATCGGCACGGATCTGAAGCAGCTCCGGCGCTTGCAGATAGAGCGCGCTGCAGAGTTGACGGTGCTGCCAGAAACAATCTCTCAGCTTCACCATCTGACCTCCTTGGACGTTCATGCACCCAAGCTGGCCTCCCTTCCCGCCAGCACCGGTGCGCTCTCCAGGCTAAGGGAGCTTGATCTCTCTGACTGCTCCGCTCTGGAAATCCTCCCTGCTTCACTCACTCAGCTCGCCTGCCTGAACAAGCTGAAACTTGAAAACACTGCCATTCGCTCTCTTCCAGGAAACTTTGCACAGCTGACCCGGCTGAAGAGCCTGGACCTGTACGGATGCGCAAGATTGGAGAGTCTGCCGGAAGATTTCTCTGAGCTCGAGATGCTCCGGTTTTTCAAGTTTGGTGGATGCACGAAAGATCTGAACAGGAAACTTGAGCGGGATTTACGACGCCATGACATGTATGGGTTGACAATTCAGCGTTACCTTTAGTTGTGCATGTATGGTATGTTGGTTTTACCACTCAGCATTATAAGTTTTCGTGTATAGGCTGGCTGCCTGCTGCTATTCTTCACATTTGATGCTTGTTGCATGGTACCTGCCTTGTGTTGGGATATATTGTAGCATTGGATGGGGTGTACCGTAATTGTGCGTTAATGGACTACAGTGGAATAAGGGGCTTTAGATTGGATCAATGGTTGGGGGGGGCAAGCTTGATGATGCTCTTATGCAATAATTCTAGGAGAAAACCAGATTCCACCTGTGTTACACACGAACATGTCAATACAGCAATACTAAAATGGCGCCACGATCTGGTGCTCCACAAGGCAGCAGCGAGCCAGCTGGCAGAGGTCGCAGTCTGCTAAAAGGTTAACTGGAATGAGTGTACCTGCATGTGTACTCTTTCCTGGCTCATTATCCAGCAAGCTGGTACTAAACAAAACTAAAAAGGTTAGCCATCAACATGTTCCCTATTCAGCACATTTCAGCACCCATAGCATTGACCCCTATGGCTTAACAACTTGCATCAATCCTGCACAACTTGTACATTTATCCCCCTCTCGTCCATCCAGTGTCTGGTCAGGGTTATAAAAGCACAGCTACACACCCAAAACTCTCATTTTTCAACAGAAGCCACCCAGCAACTAAGTCTCCAAGGTGTGCCATGTGACTGATTACCCTAGACGTGCAACATAAAGCTGCACATCTACCAACCTTGAATTGATAACCCATAGATGCCATGGTCTGCTATGTCCCGTACTCGTTCCCTATTCAGTTCTTGCGTGCCCCCGCCATACCTCAGAAACTGCAGCATCTCGAGCTCAGAAAAATCTTCAGGCAGACTCCCCAAATTTGCACATCCAAACAGGTCCAGGCTCTTGAGCCGGGTCAGCTGCGCGAAGTTTCCTGGAAGCGAGCGGATGCCAGTGGTGTCAACACTCAACTTGTTCAGGCAGGCAAGCTGGGTGAGAGAAGCAGGAAGACTTTCCAGCGCAGAACAGTCTGAGAGATTCATCTCCCTTAGCCTCGATAATGCACCGATGCTGGTGGGAAGGGAAGTGAGCTTGGGTGCATGAACGTCCAAGGAGGTCAGATGGTGAAGGTGAGAGATGGTATCTGGCAGCGCTTTCAGTTCGGCAGCATGCTCTATCTGCAAACGCCGGAGCTGCTTCAGATCCGAGCCGATGCTTCCTGGAAGCTGCTCAATGTTACCAGCCCTGGAGATGACCAGAATTCGCAGCTGAGGGACAGACGCCAAGGGGAAGGCCAGCTCCGTTGCATCCTCCGCCAACACCAACTCCAGGTGCTGCAACATTGGCAATGCGCTGGGTTCAGACACACCAGCTTCCCCACCCTCCACATTGACCAGGTTCAATGCCAGCTTCTTGAGATTTGGCAGCGTAGGGAGG